CCACGTTTTCCAATGGAACAGATCAACACTGGAAAAACAAAACACAACAGCAAAAGGCACAGAATAATTCACAATTAAAAATACAACCTGTTGCTCAAAGCGCTCGAAAGGAAATCGACTGTTCTCTCGAAGCGATGAAAAGGAAGTGGCCGGTTTTACCCGAGACAAAACCACCCGCTTTGCGCACGTCTGTTTCCTTGGGGTGGTTGGTTGCCAACCTCTCCTTCTTCTCACTAACCGTTTCTTGTGCGCGCGGAATTCATTTGAAATTTAAAAATTCGAATTGGATCCTTACAGCGTATTTAAACATTTTCCGAAATTCAACCTCTAAGGGGGTGAAAAGTGGTGGCTAAACTTTATATCGGAAAATTATTTCTATCGTAAATTTTTGACATGGAATTTAGTGTTAATGCATAGTGAAACACGTAATTAAGCATTTTCCGAGATTCAACCCCTAAGGGGGTGAATAGAACTGGTTAGGTTTGTATGGGAAAAGTATTTCTATTGTAAATTTAAATTTTTGCGTGAAATTTGATATTAAACTAATGCTCCTCAATACAAAGAATGAAACCCGTAATTAAGCATTTTCCAAGATTCAACCCCTAAGGGAGTGAAATGTGGAGGCTAAGTTTGTACGGGAAAATATTTCTATTGTATATTTAAATTTTTATGTGAAACTTGGTATTAACGCTTTTCGACACAAATAATGAAACACGTATTTAAACATTTTCCGAGATTTAATTCCTAAGGGGGTAAAAAAGGGTGTGGCTAAGTTTGTATGAGAAAAATATTTTTATGGTGATGTTTACTTAAAACTTGGTATTAATGCTCTTCAGCAAAAATAATAAAACACGTATTTAAGCATTTTTTCAGATTCAACCCCAAAGGGGGTGAAATATGGTGGCTAGATTTGTATGGAAATATTTCAATGGTAAATTTAAATTTTTATGTGAAACTTGGCATTAATTGTCTCTAACACAAATAGTGAAACACGTATTTAAGCATTTTCCGAGATTCAACCCCAAAGGGGGTGAAAAGTACTGGCTAATTTTGTGTGGGAAAAATATATTGCAAAATTAAATTTTCACGTGAAACTTGGTATTAGTGCTTTTAAACACAAATAAAGAAACACGTATTTAAGCATTTTCCGTGATTCAACCCCTATGGGGGTGAAAAATGGTGGCTATAAGTTTGTATGGGAAAAATATTTGTATTGTAAATTTAAATTTCTATGTCAAACTTGGTATTAATGCTCTTCAATACAAATAATGAAGCACGTATTCAAGCATTTTCCGACATTCAACCCCGAAGTGGGTGAAAAGTGGTGTCGAAGTTTGTATGGGAAAATATTTCTACTGTGAATTTAAATTTTTACGGGGAACTTGGTATTAATACTCTTCAACACAAATAATGAAACACGTATTTCAGATTATTTCGAGATTCCATCCCTAAGAAGTTGAGAGGGGGTGACAAAGTTTTTATGAGCAAACATTTTTTATGTCGATTTTTACTGGAAATTTTATTAATGCCCTTCAACACATTTTTTACTTGAAGGTTGATTATAATGCTCTTCAGCACAACGAATCGTCTACGCGAGCGAAGCCGCGGGCGAAAAGCTAGTAATCAATAAAATAAGGAAACAATTTAATCACGTCTGCTATGTATACCTAGTAGCAGAGATGTGACTGAACTGACAGTCATGTATGAGTCCTCGTAATTTAAGACAAATAGCGATAACACTTGCCGAGCTGCACACGTGAGAGTGAAACAGAAAAACTAAACTAAAAGACATTTTCTACGAATTGCAATAACCGGATCACAATGCCGATGGTCCAGACTTTTTTATTGCTTCGACTTCCGCTTATTAAATAAAACATTGCATTTTATTTTGATTTTCGATATTGTAATTTACATTTGGTTTATTATAACTTGTCTAGGTCTAGGGGAGTTTCAGCATCCCCTGGGCTCCCCCTACGACCCTGTCTGGGGGTCATGAAACGTCGAGAAAATATGAAACTACCAAGTCGCCCGATGGACTCTGTTACTATACTTCCTTAGCTTACGCTCAATAAGTAAAAATGACCTATTAGCAATAAACAAAACAACTTGAAGTGATACATTTATACATCGAGTTTATCGCCTTAAAATAGAGGATTAAAATTATTAGTTAAGTAAACCCCACAATCGAGTAAAATGTGAATATTATTATTAGTATTATTATTATTTAATCATTATTAAACGTGTTTATTCTCACATTTTCGAGAAAATGATGTGACTCGTTTTTAGTTTGATCATTAAAAAATTAGATAGTGATTAACTTTTAACTTTTTTATTTTATTTACTAATAAAAAAAAAAAGATGCGCCCGCTAATTTCAAACCGTCCACCTAGGTCTGTGAAGCAGAAACTCTACAACTAAGCTACACCTGCTGAAAGAGCGTCACGTTTATATTGGTAAAGAATAAGGCGGTTTAAAAAATATGTAAAATATAGTAATGATAAACATTACCAATGTGTATTCGTAAACCACAAGCACAGGAGTATATTATTTCATACAAAATCGGTAATGTTAATTATGCAATATAATTAGCGGACGTCATCAGATTGTTGCTGGAGATGATTATCTAAATTTTGGTTAGTGTTTTACTATCTACACTTTTGACTGCTATTAGAGGAGCATGGCAGTCATTACCAGCAGATTTCCATCGAAATCTATGCCTCTCAATAGTTTGTTTATATCGTAGTTTTCGATCCGATCGATTTTCGAGACGATCGAAGTTGTCAAACCCACTTTAATCTACGGGCCTTTATATCACGGAAAACAGTCCGTTCGATCCACTGATTTGTAGTTTGAAATTGGTTTGCGTTTGACGTTTGTGTGTAACACTATTTCTTTTTATCTGTGAAGTTGTCAACATAAATAATAAACCCATAAGAGTTCAAGCCCGTTTACATCGCTTCTTCAAGCATTTAAATCTGTTTTAGATCCGATGGGTTCGATTTAATCCGACTAGTTTGTCGGATCGAATTTTGATCATGAATCCATTTCGATCTGCAGCGTTTATATCATTAGTTTCAATCGGATCGGGCTGAGTCGATCGGCTCGAAATCCACGATATAAACTAAGTATACAGCCTAGAAGACTGGCACAAGTTATATAGTTGGATTCATGTATCTTTTTACACACGTGACCAAACAAAATCAAGGTCCAATCGGAAAGCACCGAAAGCAAAAGGCCTGCCTAACCCTATACATTTGTGTTATGTTGACGTTATGAACATTATCGTCTTTTTGATTAATTACTAGAAAGTGACAGTTATTAGTTCGGACGTTAGCTTTTGGTCAAGTGTGTAAAAAGATACATGATCCAACTAAACAGTTAAATATATAGATCTATGACAAAATATTTTTTTTTTAACTTTTTTTTTAATTAATTTTCTCGTTTTCTACTTTTTTGAATTAAATCAATACTTAGTAAAAATTTACTGAACTATTAAAATCATTTTAGTTAAAAAGGGATACACCTGTTAAATTTAAAAAGCATGGGTGAGGTCAATAATTGTTGCGGAGTCTATCGAGCGCTGTTATTATATTAGTTTTGAAGTTTGCGGGAATATCAAAAATAAAACACATTTATCAAAAAACATTAATAAAGAGAATCAAAATAAAAGCTGAAGGGGTCGGTAAAGCAGGGTAAATTTGAAAACAACCCTCGGCGGTGTAAATCCAAGAATAGGATCCTCACTCGTGTGTTCATGATTACAAAGTATCAATGTTTTTGCCCAATTTCATGAAAAGAACTCTTGTAATTTGTGCAAACTTGTTGGTAAATTAGCAAAACAGCATAATGTTACTTCATTGCGTTTACCTGACACTCCTGACAGCTTTCAAATAGGAAGTAAGGTTAGGTGTTCGTGCAGTCCGAGGAGGGTAGAATAAGAACGGAGGGATAGTACAGTCGAAAAATGTGGCACCGACCGCCCGAAATCTAAACACCGCTTATGACTAGACAGCGGATTTCTGTCGGGCTACGTCACGATTATAGGTGGGGACGCGCTGGATCGCTGGGACTCAGTAGCGGGTGATAGATAATCACTAAATTTAATCGTCACTTATTCCATAAATACAATTAACGATTTATTAATCAAACGGCTACGTAAATGAGAACGAGAATTAACAGCAGAGTGCAACGAAGCAGCGTTATTCTAATCTCAAATAAACGAAGTGCAGCCCTTAACTGCAATGAATTCCCATCCCGTACGAGCCGTACCGAGTTTGGCCTTGCCTAGCGCTCGGCTAAACCACGCCCCTAGTTTCGAGAGTATCGCTAAACAGTGGCAGGGCAGAGTTACTCAAGTTATACGTTTATTACTTATTTATGAAAACTAAGTCTGTCTTTCACAGATTGTTTTCTTCCATTCCACGACTTACAAAGTTTGCAGTTCACCATGTTGAATTTATTAAAAAAAAAAACGGCTCAAAGTATAAAGATACACAGCACGTGATGGAACAAAATAACTGATATGTACGCCTATGGAGTAACGGTAAAATGATGGGGTTTTCTCGAGGTTGGTAGCCAGCTCGCACATGCGCACGGTCGACAGACCGATCGTAAGCGGTGTTTGCGGTAGTTGATTTTGGGCCAAAACCATACCATTGAAAGCATACGACATGCCCCCTCCGTTCTTATTCTACCCTCCTCGGTACACTCACATTTACATTTTAATGTCAATGTAATGTGAAGTCGTTTGAAATTTTTTGTCTGGAATAGTATGTTATATTTGCAGTGTACTAAATTAAGATTTCCCCTTTAAGATAAAAACAATGGCATTTACAGAATTTCAATATCTATCCATTTTCAAGATATAACGCCGCAGAGGTTTAACTAATAGACTGTATATTTCAGATGTATTGCATACCGTATAATATGCATTTACTACAGTTTTAGTATGTTAAATTTGTTTTTTTTTTACAATATGAATTTGAATTTATGTTTTTCAGTCTTACGGCAGATTCAGAATTTACTTCAGACTTGGAAAGCAATGTCTACAAGGATTCTGCAATTACCGATGGAAAAAAGGTTTTAACAAAAGGGGCTATGAAAGTATTTGAGGGATTGAAAGTTTCAATACCAACTGAGGAACTGAATATGGATAAAATTTTGACCATCTTACCAGAAAGTAAAACACCAAGTGTCAATGTCGATGTTAAAGATCTAATAATAAATGAGCGCGAGAGCAAAGAGAACACAGCCAAACCTCACCAATTTATTAACCGAGGTAAGTACTGTTAAGACTAAAACAAAAAATATGTTAAAAAGTTTCAGGTTTACAAAATAATTTAGAAACGATCTCTAAAGCTCATGATGTGTATGATTTTGAAGAGACTCAGGATAATTCCGACGTATTTACGAAACCGGATTTTCGAAGTTTTAGGACTACTTATGAAAAGTGTAAAAAGTTTGAAAAACTAGAAGGTAGCGACGATGACAGTCAAGATTTTACAGATGCATTTAGTTTTGATGCCCTATCGTCCAGTGCTTCCTCTGTTTCTGAAGTGTTTCCAGTGAAATCAAGGAGTCAGCAAAATATTACAAAGAAAAAATGTATGATAATGGGACGTATTTTTAAAAATGCTGTTAAAAGTAGAATTGTGGATGAAGATATAAGAAATATTCCAATTATCGATAATACGAAGCTGGTCGAAGATTTTGTTTTAAGTTGTCAAACAGACAAGAAACCAAGAATGACAGAAGAAGAAATGAATTTAGCATTTGATAAATTGATCAATAATCAAACTTTTTCATCTAAACAGAGCGCACCTAAAACATGTTTGTCATCGCAGTCACAACATCAAAGGAATTCAGCTAAACGAAAACAAAAAACTAAAAATAAAAAAAGAAATTACTCGGATTCAAGTGATGACGAATTTAGACTGCAAGTGTATTCAAAGAAACGTATTAAAAAGAAAAATAGTAACTCAGAAGAGGGTTGCATTAATTTAGAACAAGAGTTACGTGAATGTATTGGGGTTGCAAGTCGAAAAAGTCAACGAAAATGCACGAGTGGTAAACAGAATATTCTAATGGAATATTGGAGTTCAGATGAATCATCATTTGAAATGTTAATGGAAAAGCAAATTGCTAATTCTTTGCAAAATCACAGTAAGCAGAATAACGGGGCCAAGCAAGTCTCAATCAAAGATTGGCATCACAAAGATGTTGAAACGAATTTGGATACTCCAGCTAACAACGAGAACATTAACCAAACTTTAGATACACAGTCTTTATGTAAGAGAACGAAAACTACACCGCCTTCTTGCAGTGTTAGTAGAAGAAAAAGAGCGGCAGCAAATCCTCTCTATCATTGGTCAAGTTCAAGTGAAGATGAATCACGTGATTTAATTGAAGTTAAACCAGTGAGGGACGAGTTTGAAGATGATGAAGATCGACCGGTGCAGCATGGTTGGATAGTTGGTGATTCTCCTAAGAAGTTAGTGACTATGTTAGCTCAGGGAAAAGGAAAAAAATGTGACATTGACAGTGTTAAGGAACATAGCAAAAAAAGGACGAGTACATTTAGTTGATAAAACAGTTTTAGATAAGACAGTTAAATATAAAGTGCTTTTTATTGTAAAAGCCATTAAATAAATTTCTTTGCATTATGACCATCTTAATTTAGACTCAAATCAGAGTTATCCAAAGTTTTAGAGAATTGTAAGTAATTTGTATATAAGTTCGTAGCTGGGAGAAGTTTAAAGTATTTAAGAAAAGCTTTGTAAATAGAAATGTGAATTAAATATCTTCTCTACCTGTATTACAGAATTAATTTTGTAATGGTATTAACCAGAATTCTGTTAGCTTTTATACAGATGTAAACATTTTTTGCACTGCCGTAAATCTTTAGACAGTTTTTGTTTGTACGTAAATATTTTATATACTTTAATTGTGGAAACAAGTTTTGTTAATATAAAAGAAATAATACAATAAATGATTGAATGGGTGCGTTATGAAATGAAAGTTTTTTTCAAGTTATAAAATTTGCGTAATTTTTTTAAAACAATGAGAGATGCTTCTAAAAGGAAATGTTTATATGTAAAAGACTTTACTTATTATTTAGATAAAACTTCGTTCGTGTTAGTTTTAGACATTCTGACGCACATCCACGTTTTGCTCTTCGAAGTTTCAAGAAATTGTGTCAAAAAGTTCTGAAACAAATTTTGATACTTTTTGTCATATTTTCAAACAATTCCTCATATCTACGAGGTCGGAAATACCAAAATCAAGAAAACGTTAAATTATAGGTGGAAAATAAGTTTCTGCTGAAATTGATATTTTGTATGCTATATTTTGACTTGTTTTGGATATTCTAAGGGTCGAGACACACTTGCGATAAGTAAAATCTAGTATCTTCCTGAAAAGGAGACGAATCATAATTTCCACCTTCTGGCGTTTGTAGTTTCAAAGAATTTTTTCAAAAACTTCGCGATAGTTAATTTTGTAAGTTTTTTGTCAAACCGACGAACTCAGAAATACGAAAAAAACGTCAAATTGTAGCTATAAACAAATTTTTCTGGGAATTTATCATTTCTGAACTATATTTTTAAAAATTTGTAACATTCTGGAAGCCTAGACGCACTTCTGATGTACAGAATAGATTCTTTTTGGCAAAAGCAGACGATTGGTCATTTTTCACGTTCTATCGTTTGTAGCTACCAGGAATTGGTTGAAAAACCTAACAAGTTCAAATTCAGACAATGTTTGTTGTATTTTCTAACGATTCTGCGGGCTCGGAAATATCAAGCTAGCTATTTTAATAAAACTTTTGTCGAAATTCATCATTTCTGACCCATGTTCTGACCTGTTCTCAGAATTCTGAACGCATAGATACACTTTGTTTTGTAAAACTGATTTTTTCCGAGCTTAAGCGAAGGAAGTATTGTAATCGAGTCGCTGACCCCCTGCTCTTTTGTTTTCTCGACGTTTCATGGCCCCTAGATACGAAGAATAGATCTCGTGGTTCCGTTTGTCTCTCTGGGTGCCTGTCTACCATTTGTCCGGATTTTTATTAGATAATATATACTTCTAAACGACTGGACCAATTTCGTGTGTATATTAGGAATGTCATATAGATAGTAAAACGTCAACCAAAAATTGGTTAATCATCCCCACCACCAATTCGGTGACGTCATCTCCAATTTACAATGGTAAATTTGTTTTTATTTTCATAAAATACGAGAATCCTGCACTTGTGGTGTATGAATCCGTGTTGAATTTTCAACGTAGACATCCAGATTTAAAAAAAAAAACAAATGTATATAACATTTTGTAATTTAGCTTTGGAACTGCAAAATCGAATGCTCTGAATAATGGTAAATCGTTTAATCAAAATGTATTCGTTTGTCCCCTCCCAAAAAATTGATGATCTCATCTCAAAATTTTGCCGAATAAATCCTGTCTGAACTATGAAAAATATTATGACCCGATACTTGTTTATCAATGCACTCATAGTTTTTAGAATTACATATACAAGGTGACACAAAAAGAATAGTGAATGAGGTAATTGTATGGTTAAACGAACAACGAGTCGCTCCATTGTCCCGAAAATTTGGAAGTACCATGAAGGTAAATAATGACATTGGCATTTTTGTCACAACTTTTGATAACATTAATCAGTTTGTTACTACGTTTTGCAGTGATGATAAACCACTTTGCTTGTGTTTTATTGTGGGCGTTTTTTTTTTATATAGTTACTATATGAATTTATAGCTGTCTAAATGTATGTCAGTGCGTTTATGGTTTAGTCAGCGAATATAGATCGTTTAATTTTGACAGATTATTTTTCATGTTTTTGTGACGATAATTAAACCAGTGTACTGATTTATAACGAGACGCCTTAACTACTCTTTCAGGAAAACATAGAAAGACATTGTGTTGTATTATATTAATGAGTTCTTGGAAAACTTTGGCTTCCGTCAGAACAGTTAAAATTTGTGATGACGTTCCAGTCAACTAACTCCAGGGATTTGTAAAGACATAATTTTCCATCGGTAATGGGTCGTGATGACTGATGATTCTACCTCAATGGAGAATACGGTACTGTTATTTTTAGTATTATACTGCATCTATCCAAACTGATTTACGTGTCCTTGCAAGTATGTTGATGACGTCATCACAAAATTTTGTAATGGAAAAACTCACTTGAAACTAACGGGTAGCACGCTTCTTTACTATTATTTTAACATTACATGCATACCTTTTATAAGATAAGATAAATTACACAGGCCTGCGATGGTTTTCCCCCAACAAAATCTAGTAGTAATTTCGGTAGGTCTTAGATACTCATGTATAAAAAAAAATTGCAAAAATTTCTATCACGTACAGTTTCTGCAAAAAATATTTTTTTCGGTTTTGTTCTTAGTACTATAAAAATTAACTTCTAGATTTTGTGGTAATAATATGTATGGATAATGGTGTTGATATTTCATTTCGTTTTCAGCTTAGTAAGAGTTATTTGTGTCGACTATGCGCTTACTACCCTGAATTTAAACAAAAATTACTAATGTCTTCTCGGAAATGGGTTAATTCTTCAGATAAGTTTGCTGACACCAATGATTTGGATGGAGCCACAAAATCATACAGACGATTGTTACTTTTGCTGTTCAAATATAAAATGATATAATGCGAAAAATGTAACAGCAATAACATATCCTATCGTGAATACAAGAGAAAACGCTTAAATCAGAGCTTTGAAGAAAGAAAAAAAGAAGCTTCTTGATTTATTTGTTTTTTTAAGTCTTGTTTATAACTAATTTAGTTCATTTAATAAATAAACATTCAATTTTATATTCTTTATATTTTATTTTTTAATAAAAATTTTTGAAAAACTATGAATATTTAGGCCTACATAAAAATAAATCTCGATGTGCTACAAAAAAACTAGAGTTATATTTTAATTCGGCATACATAAATATCTAAAAAAAAAACAATATTATTTAAAAGGGAAATTAAAAGTTATATTTCGCAGGCCTGTGTTATTGGTGTTAAAAACAAATGTTTTAGGCCAGTCGTTATATGCTTAGGCTGCCTACTCTCATATTTAAACAATCGAAATCTTTACATTTTAGGTAGGTACCTATTCATCAAATGTGTGAACACATTTAGTTGTAAAGAAACTCTTACATTTGTTTTTAAAGATACTTTGGTTGATTTCGGAAGTTAGTGGGTAAATTGTTGTAAGATTTGAGAGCGAAGTGTCTTGTACCTGTTTGTGCCCTTATTAAACGTGTGTAAATGGGAATTAGACTTTCTTTATTTCTGGTGTTATGAAAATCAGATTCAGTGAAATTCGGAAATTTGTTTATGTTCTTTAACAAAAACTAAGCACTGAAGGTAGAGTTAGAATATTAAGAGAAACGAATGCTGATTTGCAGTCAGCACGGTAGTCAAGACCAGTATGGCTCCTCTTTGGAGAACAAAAATTCTGTGACGAATGACAGTGTCCCCACCATAGAGATAGAATAAGAGGAGGGAAGATGGTTTGAAAAAACGCCTGATGCCGCGCTTTCAACTGGGACCATAAATGGCTCTTCCACCTCCTACGAGAAATTTCTCACGCACGCCACTGGAACAACCAGTTGGGCCTGTCTAATTTGCAGACCACAGTTTATCTTGCAGACTGGGGGTTAAAAATGCTGCAATCAAGTCGAAACTCGACATTTGCTTATTTCCCAATACGAAGATTGTTGGTACAAAATTTCAACCCGTTCGGAGAAACCCTTAAAAATCACCCCCAAAACAACCTTGCAGACTGGAGGTTAAAAATGCTCCAATCAAGTCAAAACTCGATATTTCCTAATTTGTCAATACGAAGATTGTTGATACAAAATTTAAACCCGTTCGGAGAAATCGTTGAAAACTACCCCCAAAACAACCTTGCAGACTGGGGCTTAAAAATACTCCAATCAAGTCAAAATTTTATATTCGCTAGTTTATCAATATGGGGAGTATCGATACGAAATCTCAGCCTATTTGAAGAAACCCTCAAAAATCACCCCCAAAACAACCTTGCAGACTGGGGATTAAAAATGCTCCAATCAAGTCAAAACTCGACATGTGCTTATTTCTCAATACGAAGATTGTTGGTACAAAATTTCAACCCGTTCGGAGAAACCCTTAAAAACTACCCCCAAAACAACCTTGCAGACTGGAGCTTAAAAATACTCCAATCAAGTCAAAATTTGATATTCGCTAGTTTCTCAATACGAGGATTATCGATACAAAATTTCAGCCTATTCGAAAAAACCCTCAAAAATCACCCCCAAAACAACCTTGCAGACTGGGGATTAAAAATGCTTCAATCAAGTCAAAACTAGACCTGTGCTTATTTCTCAATACGAATATTGTTGGCTCAAAATTTCAAGCCGTTCAGAGAAACCCTTAAAAATCACCCCCAAAACAACCTTGCAGACTGGGGGTTAAAAATGCTCCAATCAAGTCAAAACTCGAGATTTGCTTATTTCTCAATACGAAAATTGTTTATACAAAATTTCAACCCGTTCGGAAAAATCGTTAAAAACTACCCCCACAACAAGCTTGCAGACTGGGGCTTAAAAATACTCTAATCAAGTCAAAATTTGACAATCGCTAGTTTTTCAATACGAGAATTATCGGTACAAAAATTTCAGCCTATTCGAAGAAACCCGCAAAAATCACCCCCAAAACACCCTTGCAGACTGGGCGTTAAAAATGCTTCAATCAAAGCAAAACTCGACAGTGGCTTATTTCTCAATACAAAGTTTGTTGATACAAAATTTCAAGCCGTTCGGAGAAACCCTTAAAAATCACCCCCAAAACAACCTTGCAGACTGGGGGTTAAAAATGCTCCAATCAAGTCAGAACTCGATATTTCTTAATTTCTCAATACGAAGATTGTTGATACAAAATTTCAGCCAATTCGAAAAAACGCTCAAAAATCACCCCCAAAACAACCTTGCAGACTGGGGATTAAAAATGCTCCAATCAAGTTAAAACTCGATATTTCATAATTTCTCAATACGAAGATTGTTGATACAAAATTTCAACCCGTTCGGAGAAATCGTTGAAAACTACCCCCAAAACAACCTTGCAGACTGGGGCTTAAAAATACTCCAATCAAGTCAAAATTTTATATTCGCTAGTTTATCAATATGGGGATTATCAATACGAAATCTCAGCCTATTTGAAGAAACCCTCAAAAATCACCCCCAAAACAACCTTGCAGGCCGGGGATTAAAAATACTCCAATCAAGTCAAAACTCGAGATTTGCTTATTTCTCAATACGAAGATTGTTGATGCAAAATTTCAACCCGTTTGGAGAAACCGTTAAAAGCTACCCCCAAAACAACCTTGAAGACTGGGGCTTAATAATATTATTACCAATCGAAACTTGGTGTTTAGTTTTTATCTATACGAGAAGTGATAATGCAAAAAAAACAGCCTTTTTTAAGCTGCTCTTAACAAGTACCCCAAAGCAATCTTTCATACGGGAGCTTAAAAATACTCCAACTGAGTCGAAAGTTACCACTTGCTGAGTTCTTTACACAAAAAATTATCATGTCAAATTTTAGTCACCTTGAAGCAACTTATAAAAATGATTGATAGTTGACATTCATTTAAAGTACACGTAGCGGAAAAATTTCAGACACATATAGACACACAGAGACAGTACATTATGTCTAAAGTAGGTGCGCACCATAGAGGTAGAATGAGAGGAGGGAATATTGTTTGAAAAAATGCCTGGTACCGCGCTTTCTACTAGGGTCATAAATGATTCTTCCAGGTCCTCCGAGAAACTGGTTGTTCCAGTGGCGTGCTCGAAAGCGTTTGCGGGATACTAGGCATAAAACAAAAATAATTTCATAAGAAAGCATATAAAAGCAGCAGCAGCTTGGGAGACGTCTGTAAGAGTTAACGGCATTATTTTCGCGTGAAAACGTTTATTAACTGCCAAACTTATAATCAAATGATGAAAAACACTGTTTACAACAACAGCCTCCTTTATTGTTTTAATTAAGAAAATATCCTAATTGGTCTGTTTCTGTTATTTTGTTAAATTAAATTAAATTTTGCGTTTATTTGTCTTCTTCTTTTTGTTAATTTGTACATCATGTATCAACAGTTTATAAATAAGGTATGTAGTGCGATTGGAAAGATTAAAATCATGTATATTTTCAAATTCTATATTTTTTTTTCTTGCATTTTCACATCTATATCGTTATTTCCATCTAAGAATTTAATTTATCAATGCAACTAAAATTTGCCTAAATACATGCACTCAACTAGATTAGTCTTAACTGTAGTCGTCTTTACTTTTACTAAGATTTTCCAATTCTATGTCACTTTCACCGCTATTACGTAAAAGAGTTTTGAGAAAAATTTACAAATACTCCTATCTTTTTTTTAACTTAAAATGCAATCGAATCAAGTTGCATTTGTTTTTTTATTAAAAACTCGCTAACGTGGCAATTTCCGCGGAAAGTATTATCGGCAACACTGCACTGATTTGATTTAGGGAATTTTTTGACATCAAAAATTTTAAGGTTATTTTTGAAAAGTCATATTTTTTCTCAAAGAACAATAAAAGTTAAGATTATAACAGCTATAAGAAACAATAATAGGTTACTAGTAGTGCCCTGTAAACTTGTCGTTGCTAGAGGAAATTCCACAGACATAGCATCGCCATCACCTTCTATTTCAGCGAGATCATCGTCAGTTACCCTCTCATCATCATCTGTTTCGTCTGTATCAGAGTCTGCTAAAGATATTATGACTGGTGGAATATTATCTAGAGGAAAATTGCCCATTTCTTTGTGCCAGTCTGCTAGAATTAATTCATCACAATGCCGAATACTATTTTTCCACATTTGTGAATCAAAATTATTTAAAGCCTCCAACCATAAGTGCGTTACTCGATTTTTGTCTTCAGTATATTCGTGAATGTTTTGATTATAATAACGTTTGCAGTGTGCCCATGCCAGTTCAATAGCATTGTATTGACAATGGTAAGGTGGAAGTCGAAGCACATCAATACCATGCTGTTTCAAAATGTAATCAATTTCATATTTTACAGGAGTATCAGGTGAAATTGTGGGTTGGATTAAATCCGATAAATCTTTTTTTGTAAATTTTGGATCAAATGCAATGTTACATTTTGTTAAATATTCCTGCATGACAGTTTTGTTTGAAGACTTAGTTGGTGGTTTATCTAATTTTACGGAGTGATAGCTGGCATTATCCATAATCACGACTATTTTCGAACTTTTTGAAAGATTTGGTGAACAAATTACATTAGGTATAAATTGGTTTAAAACCCATTCTTTGAACATACTGGAATCCATGGTTTTGTGATAATCTCTATCATTATTCGTAGAGTGTAAGAGGAAGCTACACCCATTTATAAAACCCTCTGAGGATCCAGCATGCAAAACCGTAAAACGCTGTCCTTCAAATTTTATGGCTTTATAGTTTTTTGTGTGCATATTGTCATGTACCCATGTTTTTAACTGGGAACCATGCTTGTAAATCCAAGTTTCATCGAGGAAAATGAATTTAACGTCTGGATAATCTGCTTTATATTTCAGGTAACATTTTAGAAATTTGATTCTTTTAGCAACTATATCAGGTCTTTCTATTAAAATTTTTCGATGATTTTCATACTTATATTTGAAACCCATTGCTTTAATTATTTTATATAGGGTACTTCGCGATCCTGTGTATTCTAAATTCTTTTGTGCAAATGAAAGAAGCGTATCCAAATTAAAATATTGCCCTGTTTCTTTGTATTTTTGAATTTGCCGTCCCAACTCTTCCCTAAAAAAGTGATCCTCGAATGCTGCAATTTTTTTTCTCCCCCCTGAACTTTTCGATGAGACAATTGGTTTGCCCGTTGTATGGCACTTCAAAATAGTTCTTACCGTGGACTCAGAAACCTAGTTTAAAATATTGATAAATATTTACGTACTGAGCATATTTTAGTACCGAAAAGACTGTCTTTAAGTGTTCATGCATTTTTCTTCCAGTTATGGCTGGCTCCAGTGTCAAAATTAAGTGGTAGCAATTAATGAGTGCCATTTTCAATTTAGCACTTAAAAGATTTCGCGTTTTGCGATGCATTTTTTGTTCTTTCAAAAATTAAGAAATTTTTGAATGACGGGCTCTTATTGAAACTTTCAAAAAACAGGCGTGCCAATAAAGTATGGAATAACACTACATAGGTTTTTTTTTGTTATACCAACTTGATTCAACAGGTGGTGAGTTTTTAAAATAAAAATAAATTATATCTTTTTTTTTAACTTAAAATGCAATCGAATCAAGTTACATTTGCAACAGCGTAACCAAACAACCTTTCTTATTTCCCATTTTATACAATTTATGTCATAGATTTATGTCAATTAACGCTTAAACAATGTCATACAAAATAGAGTTGCAAAGAGCCATATACCAGTTAGTTACCCAAGTATCTAAAAGTGAAATTGTGAATATATTTTGGACCAAATATATTACACGCGCAACTATATACAGAACAATTAAAGACTGCGAGGTAGCAATACCACAATAAGTTTAGAAAGATTAAGAAGAAAGACAAGAGCCTGGAACATCAACAAGAAGATTGGCTCGATCGAGAACTCTAAATCCTATATAACAGTTTCTAGAGAAATAGGCAAAAACAACTTAAAATACAGCAAAAGAGCTAAATGTTCAAAACATACAGCATCGCCGTTAGAAAGAATTCTTAGATGTTGCCGACTATCGAGAATTCATCATTTTCTGGACAATAGTGTGGTTGTGCTGGGCGATGAAAAATATTTTACGTTTGCCCATTCAGAGATGGAAGGTAACGATGGATTTTATACAAACAATATAGAAGAAATTACAAGTAAAATTTAAGTCGAAGGCAAAGTTTGAAGATAAAATTTTGGTTTGATGGGCTATATCTCAGGCCGGCGTTTCAGCACAATTCATTGGCCGTACTAGAGGTGACGCGGTCAATACATAAAAATATATGGGAACACCATAATAACGACGATGTAATATTTTGACCAAATTTAGCAAGTTGCCATTATACTAGAATGTCCAGGGATTGGTTAGAAAGCAATAATATAAGTTTTGTACCTAAGAAAAGGTAATCCCCCCATAGTGCCCCCCGTGCGAACAATCGAAAACAAAATTTGGGGAATACTAAGTAGAAAGGTTTACAACAACGACTGGGAAGCAAATTTAGAAGAACAATTAAGAAGAACAATTTACCAGACAGTTAGAGAAATGGACGTGGACACCATCCAAAGGCTGTAAGACCTACATATGAAGACAATTTTGCGTCGTATTGAATATAACGAATCTTTATCTGTTTTCCCATTAATAATAATTAATTAAGAAATTAGCACATTTCTGGGTTCTTTTTGAAATTCAAATAAAATTAAGTTTGAGCTTCTTATTATTAATTTAAACTTTCTCTCAAAACGTTTTTTTTTTACGTTAGGTTTCTCGGAAATTAAAAATGTCTCTAATTTTCTTTAAAATGTCTTTAAGATTTTGTTTCCTCTGAATTTTAAATTTTCTATTCTGGACACCACTAACTTTGTATTTTTTGACTGATGATGAAGGTTTAATTATATCTCAAAGAACTCAGAACCAGCATATAGTATGTACTGAATGAACCAAGTTAACAGCAAAAATGATGTGTAAAAACGCACAAAAAATGAGAGATTGGACGAAAAAATGCCGAACTTATGCATTCTTACATAGTAGCAACAATTATCTAACAGCGATAAACATGAACTCAAATTATCACAATTCACGTATCTGTAACAAATACTCCTATATTCGTAATTTATATATTTTTTAAATTTAAATATTAATAAATTAATTAATAATTAACAATAAAATAATAAAAAATAAATTAATGTCAAATTTTGACTTGATTAGAGTATTTTTAAGCCCTAGTCTGCAAGGTTGTTTTAGGGGTAGTTTTTAACGGTTTCTCCGAACAGGTTGAAATTTTGTATTAACAATCTTCGTATTGAGAAATAAGCAAATATCGAGTTTTAACTAGATTGGAGCATTTTTAACCCCCAGTCTGCAAGGTTGTTTTAGGGGTGATTTTTGAGGGTTTCTCCGAATGGGCTGAAATTTTGCATCAATAATCCTCGTATTAAAAAACTAGGGATTGTCAAAATTTAACTTGATCAGAGTATTTTTAAGCTCCAGTCTGCAAGGTTGTTTTGGGGGTAGTTTTTAACGGTTTCTCCGAACGGGTTGAAATTTTGTGTCAATAATTTTTGTATTGAGAAATAAGCAAATATCGAGTTTTAATTTGATTGAAGCATTTTTTACCCCCAGTCTGCAAGATTGTTTTGGGGATGATTTTTGAGGGTTTCTCCGAATGGGCTGAAATTTTGCATCAATAATCCTCGTATTGAAAAACTAGCGAATGTCAAATTTTGAATTGATTAGAGTATTTTTAAGCCCTAGTCTGCAAGGTTGTTTTAGGGGTAGTTTTTAACGGTTTCTCCGAACGGGCTGAAATTTTGTATTAACAATCTTCGTATTGAGAAATGAGCAAATATCGAGTTTTAACTTGATTGGAGCACTTTTAACCCCCAGTCTGCAAATCTGTTTTAAGGGTGGTTGCTAAGGGTTTCTCCGAACGACTTGAAATTTTGTATCAACAATCTTCGTATTGAGAAATGAGCAAATATCGAGTTTTAACTTGATTGGAAAATTTTTAAGCCCCAGTCTGCAAAGTTGTTTTGGGGGTGATTTTTGAGGGTTTCTCCGAATGGGCTGAAATTTTACATCAATAATCCTCGTATTGAAAAACTAGCGAATGTCAAAATTTAACTTGATTAGAGTATTTTTAAGTGCCAGTCTGCAAGGTTGTTTTGGGGGTAGTTTTTAACGGTTTCTCCGATCGGGTTGAAATTTTGTGTCAATAATCTTCGTATTGAGAAATAAGCAAATGTTGAGTTTCAACTTGATTGGAGCATTTTTAACCCCCAGTCTGCAAGATAAACTGTGGGCTGCAAATTAGAAACGCCTCAACCGGTTGGTGGACGATAATAAAATTACTAATATCGCTAGGCTCACCCGTTTTTAAAATTGGGATAATATTCGCAACCTTTAGACAGTCAAGGAAGATACAGGTTTTAATACAAATATTAATTAATTTGGTGAGGGCGATAAAATGATATCTGTGATAGTTTTGACTATTTCGACACTAAATCCATCGACGTCTCTAAATTTGCTGTTTCTCAGTTTATTAATTACTTCTCGAACTGAATTGAAAATACGATACATCAGTATTAGTCATTCTCATTACACATTAAAAAATTTGGGGTCACAATTTGAAGAAGGTATTTTGGTGGTTATACTCGTATTCCTAGCAGTGTTACGGAAAAAAATAATGACATCATTGGCATTTTTGTCACAACTTTTGATAACATCAAACATTAAATAGTTTGTTACTGCGTTTTGCAGTGATGATAAACCACTTTGCTTGAGTTTTATTGTGGGCGTTTTTTTTTAATGTTTTATATAGTTCCGATATGAATTTATAGCTGTCGAAATGTATGTCAGTGCGTTTATGGTTTAGTCAGCGAATATAGATCGTTTAATTTTGACAGATTATTTTTCACGTTTTTGTGACGATAATTAAACCAGTGTACTGATTTATAACGAGACGCCTTAACTACTCTTTCAGGAAAACATAGAAAGACATTGTGTTATATTATATTAATGAGTTCTTGGAAAACTTTGGTTTCCGTCAGAACAGTTAAAATTTGTGATGACGTTCCAATCAACTAACTCCAGGGATTTGTAAAGACATAATTTTCTAAATTCGGTAATGGGTCGTGAAATAACAAGCTTCTCTGTCGACTGATTGATAGGAAAATCTATCGCAAGCCATATTCCTCGATGGTCAAAAATACCTGTATTTTGTTACATTAATTGGCATGTCGCGGTGCCGGGGATTCCAGGTAAGGGCGGTTTCCTGGATATTCAAATGCGACTTTAAAAAAACAGAGGTCAAGTGTACAACTTGATTTAGTCCTCTGGTACACGAAAATCCTCGGAAGCAGGTATGAACATCAATATCTTCTTCTGGGGCCATCGTCACGCAGGGTTTTTTTTTGGTACCCGTGGTCCTATTTTTGCCGAGCCAAGTTTCCGTCTCCGGAGTGCGTTCGACCACTAACACCGATCCTGTGGCTTGTTGGATTTGGGGAAAACCTACTGTCGACCTTTACCTACTCGCCTTCGCCTACGCCAGATAAGCCTAACCCCTCGTTTACAATCACTTATAATTATACTTATACTTAAGTGCCAAAGTTTCATTAATGTAAAACTGATGGAACTGTTTACAATAGCAATTATGTGCAGGAATTACTACTTAAGCGAAAAGTATTTCCGTCAGAGAACATAGAGAAGCGTCATAGTTTAAATTAAATAACGGTTGAGGACTCCTCGACTTATGTTGGCAACAGTGTTTTACTTTCGACAAATTGACACTAGATTTACCAGAATATTACAAGCTGCTTACTGTTTCCTTGACTTTAATTCAGGTCACACGAATGACAGTTCGTCGTCTGAGAACTTGTTTGATCTACAGACCAGAGCGCACTCAGGCCAATGTCGACTCTAAACGTTCGGAAACGATTTGATTTATAAGCCATGATCTGTGATCTGATACACCTCCTAAACGGTTTCGACCATAATTTCTTGCTGTTTCAACTTTCGAATTCTCAGTTTTTCGAAAGTTTAGTTTGGGGACTTTTCAGTTTACTCGTATTATTATTCAATTTTTGGATTTTACAATTTCTCAATTTTTCAATGTCTCGGTTTTCAGTTTTTCTCTTCAATTTTTTGATTTTTAAATATTTCGATTTTTCAATTTTTGACTTTTATAAACTCTTTGTCGATTTTTCAATTGATTGATTTTTCAGGTTTTTTGGTTTTTCAATTTTTCTATTTTTTCAGGTTTCCATTTTTCAACTTCACTTTTTTGATTTTTCGATTTCTCAATTTTTCAATTTTTTAATTTCTCAGTTTTTGGACATTTCAGTTTTGGGATTTCTCAGTTTACTTATTATTCAATTTTTCGATCTTACAATTTTGCAGGTTTTTGATTTTTCAATTTTTCGATTTTATTAAGGTTTCGATATTTCGACTTCACTTTTTTGATTTTTCGATTTCTCAATTTTTCCATTCTTTAGATTCTCTGTTTTTGAATATTTCAGTTTTGGGATTTTTCAGTTTTTCTTTCATTTTTCAGTTTTTCGATATTTCAGTTTTGGGATTTTTCAATATTTCTGTTCTTCGACTTTTCCATTTTTGACTTCTGGATTTTTTGATGTGTCGACTTTTTACTTTTTCGATTTTTAAATTTTAGATTTCTCAATTTTTTGGTACTTTAATTTTTCAATATTTTGTGGTATCCTCCCTTCTTCGAGGCCCCACGTTAGGGCGCCAGATTTGTGGTAGCTCAGCGGTTTATTGATAATAAAAAATAATACAAGGCAAAAATATGGGTATGAGTTCTCGAAGTGGCGGCAATTCTCGTCGGGGATGGTGGCGGCTCCTCGAACTCGGAGCGTCGTAGGGGATGACGGCGGCGATGTATGTAGCACAGGGGACCTGGACGGTGCGACCCCTGGAGATGACGACGTCAGCGATGCGGCACAGGGGACCTGGACAGTGCGACCCTGGAGATGACGACGTCGGCGATGCGGCACAGGGGACCTGGACAGTGCGACCCTGGAGATGACGACGTCGGCGATGCGGCACAGGGTACCTGGACAGTGCGACCCTGGAGATGACGTCGTTGAAGCGGCGCAGGGGTCCGTAAAACAGTGCAGCCCTGGTGATAATCTCGAAGCGGCGCAGGGGACCGTAAAACAGTGCAGCCCTGGAAATCACCAGAAGGGGACTTAGACAGTTTTTAGATATTTCAGTTTTAGGATTTTTCAATATTTCAATTCTTCGGCTTTTCTATTTTTGACTTCTGGATTTTTCGATGTGTCTACCTTTTTACTTTTTCAATTTTTCAGTTTTTGGATTTTTAAATTTTAGATTTTTCAATCTTTTGATATTTTAATTTTTCAATATTTCTTAATCTTTCTATTTTTCGACTTCCTGGTTTTAGATGTTCTGCTTGTCAATTTTTCGATTTGTTAATTTTTCATTCCCGATTTATCGAGATTTGATTGTTCAGGTTTTCGATTTATCAGTTTTTCAATTTTTTATTTTGGCCTATTTCGGTTTATCAGTTTTTCCAGTTTTCCATTTTTTCGTTTTTTGATTTTTCCGCTTTTCCAATTTTTCAAGTTTTAACTTTTTGTTTGTCGATTTCTCTATTTTTCGATTTTTCGACTTCATCACCTTTCGATTTCTCGTTCTCCATTTCGGTGATTAATTTTAACTGCTCTGAATGAAACGTGGATCTTATACAGAAAGAAAATTAGCCGCTAAAATGAGAAGAGGGGGGTGGGCGGGGCTAGTACTTGCAACGATAAGACTGATTTTTGCAGATGACATACCTCTAAGAACATAGAGGGTGGGTGGGTGTTACTAGTACTTGCAACGATAAGACTGAATAATATTAAGAGTAGTAACTGGAATGAAATGGGCGGGGCTATTGCTTACCCATAAAAGACTCTTTTGGTAAAACTTAAACTTAGCCCCGCCCACCCATCCGTTCTCTCATTTTTTTCTTTTGAAATAAGAAATAAATCTTATAACAAATAACACAACAAAAAAGTCACTATTACAGCCTAATTTCTATTAGTTCCCACTCCCACTCTACAAAAGAACATATAACAAATACCGCCCACCCACCCGCCTCTATTTCAGTGATTAATTTTCACTGCTCTGAATGAAACATGGATCTTATACAGAAATAAAATTAGTCGCTAAAATGAGAAGACGGGGGTGGGCGGGGCTAGTACTTGTTAAGATAAGACTGATTTCTGCAAATGACTTACCTCAACGAAAATAGGGGGTGGGTGGGTGGGGCTAGCATTTGCAACGATAAGACTGAACAATATCTCTTAATATTGTTCGTAACTGGAATGAAATGGGCGGGGCTATTGCTTGCCTATAACAGACTCTTTACAGTGCCTGAAAATTTCCAACTGCACAACTGCACAATCGCCTTTAATCCCCCTCCTGTCCTCTATACTACTACCCCCCCCCCCTATATGTTGTAAAGATATAAACAAAATTCTAAAATAATCATAATACAGACATTATTAATCCATATGTCACTATTTAAAGGTACATCACAAAAGATTGTGTGTTGTCTTCCCAAAACAGAGGACTAAAATAATTAATTAAGCCACAATCGAACAAAATGTTCTGAATTTTATTATTATAATTCTTATTTTGTCATTATTAAATAAAGACTTACGTATTCTCATATTTTTAAGAAAATGGGGTGACACGTTCTTAATTTGATCAATAAAAAATTTCTGATGACGCCAATAACGTAAATAATACTTGTCATCAGGGGCAGCTTGTCCTATGAGGCAGGCGAGGCAGTGCCTCACCAATGAATTTTACGTCTTATTAGGATTTTTATTATTTTTTACCGATACATTTCGGCCAATAATAATTTGTGTCTTTTTTCAAAAATTTTAAAAACAAATATGGAAAATTATATTTTTATTTTTATCTCGGTAGGTACACGTTGCTCCCTTAATTAAACAGCGCGCTTCAATACTACACACAACATGTATTTTGTGACGCGAATGAGACTCGAAGCTTGCCTCTACAGCAGATCCAGAAATGATGTCGTTAATAGGCAAGAAACCTGCAATACACTCATAAGCGGTATGAGTTGAAAAAAGACAAAATTGAGGCTAGCCCCTTTTCCGTGCTTGCAAAAGAGATGGACAACAATATTTGCGCGCGGAGAACGTGCGATTACAATGCAGTCTGCACTGGCAGAAATATTAAAAATTAGCCCGTTGATTGTTTTGCCACAAATCTGTGTGTGTATAAATTGATTCAAAATTTCGGTAACAGAATTTTGTCTTAAAAGTGCCTACGTTTGCGTATGTCGCGTTAGTGCTTTGTGCTTGTCATAACTTGATTTCGGTAATTGTTATTTAAGATTACGAGTAAATCGGAATTTTTCTCTACTAACGTTAAATGACGATGGCAGTTCTGTTTTTTCTACTCTCACGTATGATGATAAATTGTATGTACTAGTTAAGGAATTAAAACGGCCGGTTCCTGATTTGAGTAAATCGTTAATTGATCTATAAAAAAATTTAAAATAAATCCAGAGTATTTATATTGTATATTTTTTTCGTTTTGTTTTTTGTTATAAATCAAATTAGATTTATTTTATGTTGTATTTGATTTTTTTCTGTATGTTTTCTTTAAAGTTTATTTTAATTTTGTTTTTTGTTAGAAGTTATATTAGTTTTTTCTGACCACGTTTCCCTTTCCTTTTGTCCTATCATTCCCATCCTTTCCTTGCAAGAGTTCCTTACACCTTCACGTTGGTTCTTGGTCGACAGTTAAATGAGTTTACAAATTTGTTTATTTGACTAAGTAGAAAATATTTAAGTAATCTTGCATTATTTATATTTTGGAGCGTTTTGTGTTTGCCTCATCAACTTTTCAAGTCATGAGCCGCCCCTGCTTGTCATAGCACAAAAGAAAATTAGTCACAGCGCATTACCAATGCAAGAAAAAACCAAAGTCCTAACAGCTGTGAAGGCAGTACGACTCCGCAAGTAGGACTGATAAATTTTTCATTGTTTACCACTTTACGATTTGACACATTTTTCTCGTGATTACTGTGTTGAGTGGTTTTGCAATTTGTGAATTTATTTGTTTTCATTGTGTAATTAACAAATGTAAGTATATAACTTTGTCTTTACTAGATTATTATATCCAATTTTTGTAGAACAAAAATGCAAGGAAACAAAACTTGTTCCGTTAGCGGATGTGCGGCCAGGGTGAAGCCAATATTTGCATTCCCCCATCCGAAGCGGGGCCTTGATAGGTTTATGGCGTGGGTTAAAGCCGCGAATAACCCAAAATTCGCGGCTTTAACAAATGCCCAAATCTATCGCAGGGGGTATACATATTTGCTTCCAACATTTCCAACCCGAGGATTTTGTACCAGAATCACAAAGGCTGCGTCGATCTGCAGTACCAACCATTTTGCCTTCTCGAGGTAAAAACAAATTGAAGACCACTACAAAACAAATATTAAGATATTTTTACCTACAGCTGATACTGGCATTAGTCTAAGATCACTCGAGGCAAATCAGATTGATGTGGCCGATGTGGGACCGCAGACCATTGATCTCACCTACCTCTCTCCAAAAAAGGAATGGCCATATTTTTATGCAATCTCCAGTTTATCTCCACGTAAGAGACGTTCTCCTAGTTCTCAAAGTTAGTAAATATTACAGTTTGTTTTTAATACAACACTAATTATTTTCGACCTTATAGGTCTAGATACTGAATCAGAGACACCGAGGGCTGGAGGTACGTGGAGTAGTGGCATTCCAGGGCAACAACAAAATTTTGGAGCAGGTATTATAATGCTACAAAAATAAAATAAATAGAGAGGAAATGATATTACTTAATTTACAGAAAAAGATGAGATCAATGAGCTCCCTTGTGCTGGACCTTCGGGGTTACAAAATTTTCGAAAAATAGGTAAGAAACTGTAATACTGTTTGCCACCACATTTCTGGAAATCTAAAAACAATATTTACCAACGAAAAATACTTATAAAAATATGATGGATTGTAAAACTTCATCACACTTTGCGTTTCTACCTACCGTTGTGTATGTAATACATATGTACAAAGCACATCCCCCGCACCGCACTTCCCTTGCCTTATATCAGTGCAAAAATAATGACAATATAATTTTAGGTTTCAGTAACAAATATTCCCTATTTTCAGATTTTGTTGGAAGCAATGTACTCCCTGAAGAACGGTGCGCAAATATTTGTTTGCAAAGACAGCAAACTTCACGTATGTATTTTAATATATATGTTAATGATAACTTTCGACCTCAAATTCTCTCACGTATATATACTTTTGGGCTCAAATTGGAAGTTTCGGCCTCGCCGTAGCTTTTGAGGCCGAAGTGACTCACACATTCAACGTAACATTTGGACTCACGCATATCCAGTGACATCTTTTAACAGTAATTTTAACAATTTTGGTTTGAGAAAAGATTGTTAAGTATAAAAGTTGGTTGCATAGATGATTTACTTAACAAAGCTAATATTATGACTAGGTTTTATATAAATGCGGGAAGTTGTTTGAAGGTAGTAGTTTCCAGAAGAATGTTGGAAATTTATCTAAAATTAAAGAAAATATAAAGCAACTGAAAACAATTGGACAGTAGAAGAGCCAAAAATTCAGAAAGAAGTTAGAGAGTAAGAAAGAAAAAAAAAGATACACAACAGCTATAGAATGTAAGAAACGGAAAGTTGAGGACATGGAATGAAGACAGGGAAATTTGGATGAAAAATTTTACAAAGAGAGTTGGAATTAACTGAGCAAGGAAGCATAAAGAGAAGGGGTGGTAACTATAAAAAAAATAGAGAGGGAATGGAAAAGAAAAGCGGGGAGGACAAATGGGGTTTAAAATTGCTTGTTTGAAATATTGCATTATTAAGAAAAATAAACAGAATTTATTTAATGAGTACATAAAATTTTGATTTTGTGTGATTAACAGAAACATGGATACTAAAGAGTAAGGGGAATAAATTGAACAAGGAAAAAGGAAAAGTTGAGGGTGAAGCAAGTGGGGGATCCATAACAGGGGTGACAAAAGATATAAAACAAATCGAAGAGCGGGTAATAGAAGTGGAACGCATAGTGGAAAGAAAGATAAAAGAAAAAAAGAATTTGCATATTGTATTGCATTGGAATTACAAAAAATTTGAAGAAAAAAATTTAAGAAAAAATTGAAGAGTCTAACGAAGAATTTCTTCTGATAGGAGATGGTTTTAACGCCAAAATAGGCAACAAAAGCAGGGAATATAGCGGAGAACGCACAGAAAAATCTAAAGATAAAATTTTAAATAAAGACAGAAAATTTCTATGGAAATTAATTGAAGAAAGAGTTTGGTAGTCTTGAATGGGGTGAAGGAGGGGGATGAAGATAAAGAATTTACCTGTATATGTAACCCAGTAGCTGATGAAGAAGCCGAAACATTTAAATTAGGAGAAAGAATTGATTCCGACCACATGCTATAAGAAGTAAAATTGAGGGATAGAAGTAGAAAAGTCGGAGTCACAAATAAGGAAGTAGATAAAAAGGAGAAGGGAACTGAGCATTATAAAAGATGTTGGAAATTGAATTCAAAAGAAGTAAGCTAAAATAAAATAGAAGAATTAAAAATAACAACTGAAAAAGCAGCAATAAGAAAAGCATTTACAACGAAGAAATCAGAAAAGAGAAACAAATGGCGGGTTAATAGATGCAGAGATTTAAAAACATAAGAAAGAAAATGTTTACGAAGGTGTAAAAAGGGAAAGATAAAAAAGAAGAGTACTGTCCAGCAAGAAATAATAACAGGTCGGTGTGAATAAAAAAAAGAAGAGATTCCGAAAGAAGAAATAAAATAAAAGCCATAAAATCAGAGCAAGAACCAAAATAAGGAAAAACAAAAACATGATCAGTGAAGAAATGCTAATAATACAATGGAAGTACCATTTCATGAAACTAATGAGTGGAAATGAGAGTACTGTAGCGCAAAAGAGTTAAACCGAGAATGCTGAGAGAGAAAGAATGGCCGAACATTACAGTGGAAAAAATATGGAAACAAGTTGGAGGGTCGAAAAGAGGGAAAAGACCAGGGAGGAATGGATTGGTAAATGATGTATGGACGTTTAGAACGGATGATTTGATTGAAAGACTGTGTGAAATAATGAATGAGATGTGGAAAAGTAAAGGTCTCCTCGAAAGTGGCAACAAGGACAAATATGTCCAATGGCGAGTATAAAGGAACCTAGGTACAATGGGGGTTATCCTCGTCTAAAGATAATATCAGAAACAACGCCAAGGTACCTAGAGAGAGAAAGAACGAAGGAGAAAAAGTAATTGCTAGACAGAGGGGTGGACATGAAGAAAGAAACAATAACTTTTGCTTAAGCGAAAGCAGAAGAATATATAGGATGTGTGGAGAAGTGCAAGAGACTTTAGAATACATGCTACAAGACTAGAGCGAAATTAAAGAAAAAAGGAAAGTATAACAGAAATATTGAATGAAGATGGAAGAGAAGCAGGGTGGATGAAAGGAGTGGAAAAGAGCGGAGTAAGGATGGAGCAAAGGGGATGCGATAAAAGAAGTAAATAGTAAAATCCTTGATTGTTGACCATTATTATTGCTATATCACACCAAAATAGTATAAATAAAAATAAATAATTGGCAGAGTGGTGAACTATCTAGCCTAAAATTATTTTCATCTTTTGTACAATTCGGCCTCACAGAATCGTAGAAAACAACTTTCAAACTTACAACCCAAGCTAAAATTAACTTAATAGCAGTTATTTTAATAACAAATAAGAGAAATAAACCTACAAGAAAAAGTCATAATTGTGTTATTAATTATGAAGTAACTATTAAAAAAATCTAAAGATTGTGATGCCAAAAGTTACTTTAAATCAAATAATGGCTTTCATCCATAGAAACTTTTGGCCTCATAATTACATGACGAATAACTTTCGGACTCATGTGCTAACATACATTAAAGTACAAGGTACATGAATAAATCTAAAATCGGAAACCCAAAATTTGGTCAAATCGAGGCAGTAAAATTCATGTGAATCAATATTCGGTGCTATATATTCAGGCACACCCCCAAGTGTAAAGATTCAGATTTTTTCCATAAAACCAAACATTTTGTATGAAGTTAAAACAAAATTACGACTGTGAATGGTCGAAGTATCTGTAGACGCATTCATAAAAATATTTTTTATTCAAAGTTAAAGAGATAATTTAAATTTTTTTAAATACTTGCTACTTAGCCAAATATAAAGGACGACAGGTCCAAAGTTGCTATAAATGAGCTAATTATTTTGACATGTTTGTTTCCATATTAGCGTGGGTATAAATTTGGGTTAGGTAGAGTTCTGCAATCAACCAACTATTTATTTTTATTTATACTACTTTTGGTGATACCAGTTTCAGCGTTCATCCCCTTCCTCAGCCACCTCGTCAGTAAACCTATGACACTTTAAAAAAGTCAATATTTGGTTAAATTTTTAGACTTATTAGTGTTAATATTATCAGGAATTTGATCCGCCGTTTTTTGAGCCTAAAATACTTGATTGTTGACCATTATTCTTGCTATACCACATGTAAATAGTATAAATGAAAATAAATAATTGGCAGAGTGTTGAACTATCTAACCTAACATTATTTTCATCTTTTGTAGATTTTGGCCTCACAGACTCGTAGAAAACAACTTTCAAACTTACAACCCAAGCTGAAATTAATTTAACAGCAGTTATTTTAATAACAAATAAGAGAAATAAACCTACGAGAAAAAGTCATAATTGTATTATTAATTGTGAAGTAACTATTAAAAAAATCTAAAGATTATGATGCCAAAAGTTACTTTAAATCAAATAATGGCTTTCATCCATAGAAACTTTTGGCCTCATAATTACATGACGAATAACTTTCGGACTCATGTGCTAACATACATTAAAGTACAAGGTACATGAATAAATCTAAAATCGGAAACCCAAAATTTGGTCAAATCGAGGTAGTAAAATTCATGTGAATCAATATTCGGTGCTATATATTCAGGCACACCCCCAAGTGTAAATATTCAGATTTTTTCCATAATACGAAACATTTTGTATGAAGTTAAAACAAAATTAGACTGTGAATGGTAGAAGTATCTGTAGACGCATTCATAAAAATATTTTTTATTCAAAGTTAAAGTGATAATTTACATTTTTTAAATACTTGCTACTTAGCCAAATATAAAGGACGACAGGTCCAAAATTGCTATTAATGAGCCAATTATTTTGATATGTTTGTTTCCATATTAGCGTGGGTATAAAGTTGGGTTAGGTAGTTCTGCAATCAACCAATTATTTATTTTTATTTATACTATTTTGGTGATACCAGTTTCAGGGTTCATCCCCTTTCTCAGCCACCTCGTCAGTAGACTTATAACACATTAAAAATGTCAATATTTGGTTAGATTTTTAGACTTATTAGTGTTAATATTATCTGGAAATTGATGTGCCGTTTTTTGATCCTAAAATACTTGATTGTTGACCATTATTCTTGCTATACCACACGAAAATAGTATAAATAAAAATAAATAATTGGCTGAATGTTGAACTATCTAACCTAAAATTATTTTCATCTTTTGTAGAATTTGGCCTCACAGAATCGTAGAGAACAACATTCAAACTTACAACCCAAGCTAAAATTAACTTAATCGCAGTTATTTTAATAACTAATAAGAGAAATAAACCTACAAGAAAAAGTCATAATTGTGTTATTAATTATGAAGTAACTATTAAAAAAATCTAAAGATTGTGATGCCAAAAGTTACTTTAAATCAAATAATGGCTTTCATCCATAGAAACTTTTGGCCTCATAATTACATGACGAATAACTTTCGGACTCATGTGCTAACATACATTAAAGTACAAGGTACATGAATAAATCTAAAATCGGAAACCCAAAATTTGGTCAAATCGAGGCAGTAAAATTCATGTGAATCAATATTCGGTGCTATATATTCAGGCACACCCCCAAGTGTAAAGATTCAGATTTTTTCCATAAAACCAAACATTTTGTATGAAGTTAAAACAAAATTACGACTGTGAATGGTAGAAGTATCTGTAGACGCATTCATAAAAATATTTTTTATTCAAAGTTAAAGAGATAATTTAAATTTTTTTAAATACTTGCTACTTAGCCAAATATAAAGGACGACAGGTCCAAAGTTGCTATAAATCAGCTAATTATTTTGACATGTTTGTTTCCATA